CTTCCGATCCTGTTTGTGATACTTGAAAATCACACCTTTTGGGAAAATTGTGAATCGCGAATGCGTGGATCGTGTGGATATAAAAAATTTATTTGATTGAGACTTCGATCCTGAAGGCTCTTAAGCTGGTTACGTGTCGAGGCGTCATGGTCGTCTGAAAATCGTTGCGGAATTATTATTCGTTGCTCTTTGTCTAATTATGGTGACATAATGATTAAAATTATTAAAGTCGTATGACTAAAATATATAAATACATATATAATCACGTTTCTATCTCGATAAAAGATAAAAGCATCGTTGATATTTTATAGATAAAAGAATTAATTTTATTATCCCATTTAAAAATATTGAGTTTGATAGCTCTTGCACCACTACATTTAGAAAACAATTACATTCATAGTCTAATATCCCTTTTGTAGCAAATAATTTCTTCAATGACACTTACTTCTTTTAAATTAATAAATTAATAGAAATTTCTTTAATCTCTGATAAAATATTCCACAGTTTCCAACTAAGCAGAATACTCTCTATATAATTATACAGAGTGCTTTAATAATTATTTCTAGAACGCAAACTCGAAGCACGAAGTGTTAAACCATCGATACTAATCGACCAAGTCAACTCAGTTTCTACGAGGTACAGGCTTGATATTCTATACAAGAAAAAATTAATTTCATTATCCTATTAAAAAAGAATTGAGTTTGACAGCTCTTGCGCCACTACATTTACAGAATAATTACAACATAATTTAATTCCTTTTATACTAAATAATTTCTGCTACGACATTTATTTCTTATAAATTAATAACACCCTTAATCTCTGATAAAATATTCCACAATTTCCAAACAAACAGGACACTCTGTATAATTATTATTCCCCAATGGCCTAATAATTATTTCTAAAAGGCAAATTCGAAGCACGAAGTGTTAATCCATCGATACCAATTAACCCTGCCAACTCAATTTCCACGGAATACAGACTTGAAATTCTTTCTCTCGGCTTAACATCTCGACAGAGGAGCGAAGGAATGGCGCGATGGCGGTATTGACTTAGCAAGATCCGCGGAAGACGGATAATCATCGCGAGGAACTTTCGTTGGAAGTTCTTTTAATCATCCGCGCGATTCATTCGCAGCCCGCTAATTCCATATTCTTTATGTACTTTGTTCTTCTGGCCTCCGCTTCCGTCTTCCTCCGCGACTCCACTTCCGGCCACGCACGGATCGAATCCGGATTAACCGCGTTAATCAGCGATCTTCCCAGACCTCTTTCTCGCGTCTCTTTCAAGTTTCTTCCTGCAAAGACATTCGTTGCTTAAGGGATGATGGATCTTCGAAGGAGGATGAACCAAAATGGCGTCGTTTCGTTTGACAGGAGAGCAATAAAGCCAGGAATAGGTATCTGAAAAAAAATGAAGTTCAACGTTAGTATTTATGGTATTTAGAGTTTATGAAAATTTTATTTGAGAGGAAGAGAGTTTAGGCTTGAGCTCGTAAGCGTTTGAAGATCGCTTCGTTGCGTTTTAGTGACGACAAAGAAGGTTGTTTGATTGGGGTGTCGATAATTGGGGTGTGTGAATGGTGGTTAATGAAAAACGGGAAAGAATGTGTTTATTTTTGAGGAAACTATGTCAGAGGTATATTAAGATGTGGAAAAGTTGAAATATTATAGTAATAAAAATTTGTTAATTTATGTATTCCACAAATGCTTCGACCTTTGACCGAGAGAAAAATTTGTCTGTATTTGTAGAGATTAATTGCGAACTTTCTTACAATTAATGGTATTAGAATGGTATCTATTATTGATTTTATTACTGTAATATTGCAAAACAGAATTTTATAGTACGAGAAATTAGATTCGAATTTTGGATTAATTAATAATAAATAAAGACTACTGCGGTAATTAATTTTATCGCGCATAATAATTTATTTACGTAGTCACGAGAGAGTTGCCGAAATACCGAAATTACCGAAATATCTTTGGAGAAGATCGATGAAATTTGAAAATAACAGCAATTTAGAGTAATTTATTATAGGTGGAAAAATGAACATTTTCGTAAGGAGAAACATAAAGTGGAGGTAATATTTTTTACAGCGAAAGCTGGGACGAGGAAAAGAAATAAAAGTAAATTGTTTTCAACGTAGCGCACATCATCCACTTAGATCTTCCTGTTTTGTTATCTTTAGCTCGTTTAACGCTCACGTAGATCTACGTTTTCCACGGAAAAGTCACTGGAAAGCGTAACAGTAAATATGGGCATATCTGAAAAACGTGTGGCCAGGAATTTGCGTGAAATTTAGGGGAAATAATTATCGTACGTTTCGGATGCGTTATTATTATTAGCGTTAATATACAAATAACAATATATCAAAATAAATTACCTCAATTGCTGTGGCATAACTTTCTTTTTAATTAAACATTATTTAAATGGCCAATTTAAATCACTACGTTGTTTCGATAAAAATATCCCCGGTATATTAAAAAAGGAACGAGATTCCTTTCGGCAGTCGTTTTAATTGAAATGATAATTAAAGGTATATAAATGTTAAATTTTCGTCGAAATACATTCGATGTCTTTTTTCCTGCTAAATGGAAAAGTAATATTGAGTGAAAGCCAAGAAATCGTTCGACTGACACAGCAAACAAATTAATAAATTTAATATTCCTTCAATAAATGGGATATATTTTATTCGGGAATAATATCAACGGGATGATATACGAGGAACGACCTATTAAAATCAAGGGAACGCAGAACCATTAAGTCATTGTAAAATTGGTTCGAGTATCCGCCGTTAAACAATTATTCAAGGTGATATCTTTGATCATTTTAATAATATCCTGACATTAACAAACCAAACTCTATCTCTAAAAGAGAACAAAATCTCCTCAAACGAAATCTATAATCTAAATACATCACGGTAGTAATAAAGAATTAAAAACAGAAGAAATGGAACAAAGAGTGAAGAAGAAGCTTTTATAAAGCAATAATGATAACTCAAATAGCAATTCTAATTTACCAAAATATCACAGTTTCCCTAGAATCCTCAATACTCCATTTCACCTGCAATCGCGCTACCATGTTCTCACCCCAAAAATACACACACAAACGCTTCCCTAAACCACCCCAAATTACACCAAATCCCTCACCTGTCGACACCCAATCATTATCCCTCGTCCACGCCCATCGTCAACTCCAATACCCTAATTATACTTTCGACCTCATCCTGACCATCAACCCTCGTGACCCTAGCCACCCTTCTCCAGGAAGCCATCCACTTTAGTCACAAGCAACCTTCTTAACTGCCAGTTGTAACATGGCATCCAGCTCTCATTCACGATCTTTTCTCTTCGCCTTCCAGCCACTCATCCAGAAGCGTTTGAGGATTCACGACACGTGCGGCGTGCACAATCTTCACGGCATGCCCGGTGTTCTAGCCGGCATCTTTGGCGCGCTGATGGCCGGCATCGCCACTGAAAGCTCTTACGATTATTCCCTTTACGAGGTACGTAAGTTTTCCCCTCGTAACGGAGGATTAATTGGCGACTGGTTCTCGGATAATTGAGTTCGCGAGGGACGCTAAGTACGCGACTAGCCGATGAATAGCGGCAAACTTCTGTGCATTCTACGGGGACAAAAAGCTTGGGAGATCGCTTAATCTATCGGTCGTGAAACGAACATCCTGGTAGGTAGTCGCAAGAAACTGGCGACTGTTATTATTGTTTGGCAGAAGACGAAACTTTGAACTTCAGCGATGGCAACCTAGGTGGTTGCAGAGATCTCTGCTCTGCGTTCTCTGTGTCAGTTGAACTTGAGTGGCGTGCTTGGATGAATCTCGAATTGGACACGTTCTCATGCTGCAATTTGTATCCTCTTTTTCTCTGAAGTCCTGTGAATCACTGTGAACTGCCGAGGAGTTGGAGATCCTGAAAACGTAGAATTTGCATGATTATTCTTTAAAATATTTGACTGATGTATTAAATCCTCGAAGTTTCTTGAATTATACTGGTCTAATAGCCTGTTACCTCCTATTTGCTTAGAATCATGAGTTGCTTTCTGTTAGATCTTCCCTGCACGAGCACCAAGCACTGAGGCAATGTTGGCAGAGATGAGGGATAATTATGGCATATCTCCTGGCTTGAATAGAACAGCGGGACAGCAGGCTGCTTATCAATTGTTAGTGCTTGTGATCACTCTAGGAATCGCCATCGTTTCAGGTTTAATAACAGGTAATCATTGTCTACTGGTGTCCACATTTTGGGATAAATTACGAAAAATTATGTTCAATTTGGAAGTAGTCTCACATTCGTGCTAGTAGAATTCAACGTGAAGATTGTTAATTCCAATTAAATTTGTATGATAAATTATTTTGTGGAAAATAGACATATGTTCCTTTCCTTTTTATATCCATTTTATATTTGAAGGGAGACATATTATGTTGAAATTTAAATTTTTATGCAGTTTGTTTCCGATTCGTAACGAGACTGCACTGAGACGAATAAATTCTTGCGTAGGTTTAATGATGCGTATGTCGATCTGCGGTTCAATTCCCGAGGAGCAAAAGTTCGACGATGAAGCCCATTGGGAACTGGAAGAGGAATCCTTGGAAGAATCAAAAACCAAAGAAGGCAACTGCAGCAACGATCAATTATCCATGGGTCACATTTAGGATCTGTTCTTATCAACAGCAGCAAACACTTGTAAAAAAAAGAAAAGAAAATTATAATTCTAAATCCAGGAAAACTTATTAAAATTTATTAAACAACTGTTAAATATTTTATTCGACGTACGTTTATTAATGCAGCAATATCCTTGCATAAGAAACAGCTGGTTATTGGTCTCGTGTATTCAACAGGTAGCAGAAAGGAGAACTGACAGAAAAATCAATATTACAGAAAACAGCATATAAAATAAAATAATTACGGAACAATTTTAGGGAAAAAAGCAAGGAGTTTAGCGAACTACAGCATTCCACTTTTCTCTTTTTCTTTCTTTCTTTTTTTTTTTTTTTTTTTTTTTTTTTTTTTTTTTTTGTTAATCGCATTATTTATATTTTTTAGAAAACTGTATAAATGTATGTAGTAAATCATTTACAACATATGCGAGCGTTTCTAGGAATTCCACAGCAGTATTTACCGGATCGTCTAGCGTATTAAAAGAATTATTGTAACAGCAATATCGATTGATCAAAAATGATCAGGTATAATACATCTTTAAAGATGATAATATATTATTCTTGCTAATTCTTTTTATATATAATTATAATAATAATGATAATAACAGTGATAATTCATTCCCTGAATTTGTCGATAACAATCCATTAAAATCTTAATTATGTATTTTTGCTTTCATGTAATAAGTTCAATGTTGTCTTTCGTTATTCAAAGCAGCGATTACTTCATTAGAGCGTGTACCACGGCTTTCGCGTTTAATGATTTTAGGTCTGTGTATGTTTGTCCTGTTCCAACAAAAACGATAGGTTGTCCGGTAATATATGTCATGGAAATCGCTGCGCCTACCTGAAAAAATACAAACAATAAACAGCGTAAAAATTTTTTAGGTCTATCTGTATTAATTATAAGTCTTATATTCCATCAATACGTTCTACGTACCTTGTCATCGATTGTATCAAATTTAGTTAACACAATGCCATCAATGATATGAGGATTGCTAGATTGACTATGATCGGCTAGTGCTTGATTGAATTTTACCAATTGATCGACAGCCTCGTTTCCAACAAGAGCTTCACCAACAAAAAGTACTAAATCTGGCTCGTTTACTTTGATCAATTTAGCCAAGGCTCTCATTAACGGTTCGTTATCTTGCATTCTGCCTGCAGTATCCACTAGAACCACATCGATTTTCGAATCCTTGGCAAAACGGATCGCTTCCATGGCAATACCAGCAGCATCTTTTCCATAACCTTTTTCGTATAATTGAACCATAGATTGATTGCCATGTTTCTCCGGTGGGTGAAGCGCATTCAAATGACGCATATGCGTTCTCAGTTGTTCTACTGCACCAGCTCTAAAATGACATTTTTAAAAATACAACAATATGTCTATATTAAAATAAAAAGTTAACGAGAAAGTAATACTATAATAAATAAAGAATGTACCTAAATGTATCACATGCTGCAATAAGAACACGGAAATTATTCTCTATGAGCCAGAAACAAATTTTCGCCAGATTTGTTGATTTTCCCACCCCATTTACGCCACAAAATGTCATAACATAAGGTCTACTATTTTTCTTTGCTTCCATTGCGTCTCGTAGAATATCCACGCGTCTTTTTGGAGACAATATTTGCACCAACGCATCGATCAATGTATTCTTCACTGTAGTGGTTATACTATCGAATGTACCGAGTACTTTTCCTTCGAGTTTCACACCAACAGACTCGCATAATTTTTGAGCAATATCAGCTGCCACGTTTTTCGAAATCAAATGATCCTTTAATTTATCTAGAACTGAAACCATATCTTCGTGTTTCAAACATTTGTTGCCAACCAAACTCTTGAACATTGAAAACATGCTATTGGTTTTCTTTTGTACTTGTGGTTTAGAATTCTCCATTTCTTCATCAGACTCATCATCCTCAGAATCGTGTTCAACTACTATATCACGAATTCCACCTTTCATCTGCCCTACTAACTGCAAAAATAATAAAAAATATTTAGAAATATAAATTATTAAATGCACCAATTGTTAATTAAAAATGAGTTACTGTTTTATCAGCTGGCACATAGTCACCACTTTCTTCTGGTTTATCTTTGGTGCGTTCTAAAGCAGCAAGATCTTTGATGGTCCCACTTAATTCCCACACACGAGGTTTCTTGCCAGCTTTCTCTGATTTTTTACTTTTCCTGTAAAATTATTTCTGTAAAGTGATTATATGTAGCTCATCCTTAGAAGCAACGTGAAATTGACTTGTGAGTTTAAAAACTCACTGCTTATCAACTTTCTTCTTTTGATTCAATTTTTGAACCAATTTCATGCGATTTGCCATTAAAACTTTTTCATTTATTTCCCCATTATGATTTACTTGATTGTTTGGAAAATCCAGTTTTGAAACCTCTTGAATCTTCACTGTGGAGGTAAGTAAAAATTAGAACACATGCAATTACATTATAATAAAAGATGGATAAACTGTTTTCAAAAATTTAGTTCTTTTTAATATTTAATAATTTACTATTGGACGTTTAACTTATGTTACAACATGAAGGGTTAATTCTCATAGCATGCACTGTGTGTGAGTGTAAGATCCAAGACCACTTACTTTGATCATCTTTATTAGTATTAACACCCTTTTTTCTTTTACCTAGAAGCGAAGATCCCAATTTGCTTAGTACCCACTTTTGGAAAGACACTTTTACTACCTAAATGAGAATTGCCTATGATTCTATATTAAATCCTACACCAATACTCCCAACATGTCATAAGATACTCAACAAAAGCACACGGTAAGTTAAGCTTCACAAATGATGTAATTAATGACATTTTAAGCTTATTAAGGGCAAAGTGCATCAAATAAATAAAAGTGCTATTTAAAGAAATCTCAAAGTTACATTCACTACATACCCTGTTTTTTATTATCTTTATCATCTTTCCGTTCAATCATACTAGCAATAGTCTTTTTTGATTTTTGACTTTTATCGAAGGTACGCATTTGTTTAGGTATTTTAGCTTGAGTCTGTGCCCATTGTTCAGCCACAGCAAGAACATGCTCATAATCACTTTGAAATTCATAATTATAAAACCACTTAGAGTTTTTCAATTCATTTTTGAATCTATCTCTAAATTCTAAATGAATGTCATTTAAAAATTTATCTACATATGACAATTGCAGTATTTTTTGATATGCAACAACAAACACTAATTCAAACTCATTATCAAGTTTGTACTGTAAACGTAAGGAATCGTATTCAAAAGTATGACTTCCCGAACGTTCCTGTAAAAGATCAGTAAAAATGTCATTACAAGAAATATTAATCGTGTGTCAATCGATTATTTATATGTGTAAAGTATACTTCTTACGTATCTAATTGCGCTTCAACATTAAAATCATATAATTACAAAATATTATTTAATAGCATTCCATATGGACATATTTAAATTCAAAAAAATAAGAGGCCTTGACAGGAACACTTACTTGCAATATGACACTTCGAATTAGCGCGTTAACGCTAGGAGCAAACATTTGCGTGGTATTTTGGAAACACCATAACACAATACCACCTTTACTAAATATAGTAAATAAATCAAGCATGATTGTACGATTTCTTAGTAATAAAAAAATGTTTGATTAAATGATGCGATCTAACCTACTCGCGACCGTTCTATTTGATTTTTGTACACGTCAGACACTGCAAGATACCTTAGAATAAAAACTATAAGATACGATAAAACGTAAACATAGAGAAGTTTTAAGGCAACTGCACATTGCAGCGATATGTTTACGTGAATACCGCAAAAAGGCGCCACATGTTCAAGCTACAGATTTAAAAATGTATATTTATTCTAAACTATTCAGTGTAATATTTTACATTCTAAATTAATAAATGTATTATTTTGAGAATAATAATTGATATTATTAAATATAAACAAATTATGAATTATGTACGTGTGTATGTCATATATTATACTTTATAATTATCACATATAAAATGTCAGTCTAATCTTATTCATTATTAAACTTGTTCCATATTACTTTACTTCTTAATAATAAAATAATTTAAAAGTTATATAGCTATAAAATTAAAGTCATCTATACGTATATAATTTCTTTAACAATTCCAGTGTAAGTAAAAAAAGTTATTGTTGAATGATAAAAGCTTTTATTTCCCAAGTTTAAAAAAAGACTGAAAATCACAGAATTAAATTGGATTTTATATTTGAATATTTTCATTATTGATAACTTTATCACAAATAATATATACTTATATCCATAATAATTTATATCTACAATTAAAAACGAATTTATTTCGAAATATATTTAAAATATTGACAATATTTTGTATCCATTGAGCAGTTAACATTATATACATTTGCAAGTAAAAAACATTTTTAAATTCTGGAACACAATTCTTGTACAACTTTGATAATAATTATAAAATATTAAACAATTCCCTACAATTAATTTTTTTGTTTTTTCTTTTTTTGTTTTTTGTTTCTTTTACGTGTCCATACAATTATCCTTTGAGACGAATAATAGATATATTTTTATAGTACTATAATTCTCAACAGGCAGTGTATGATTATCACATATACTTAAGCTCTTATTCTATCTTATACATTATTATTATTATGCATGAAGTAAATATAAAAATGTATAATGAAAACAATTTCATTAATGTTATATACAATAATTACAGCATGCTTTACATAAATTAACAAGACTTTACACTAGCCTAGTTAGACTTTCTATAAGACTGTTTAAAACCATACATCATCCGGAGAATTTGAAAGTTTGTAGACGTCTCGCATGTTCACTTCTGTACACTACTGTAGTTGAATAAAAATATATTATGATAGTGAGAAAAACCTGCAATATAATAATAATTATATAAGGCATCAAATATTTAATATTTTTATAAAAATATATAAGAAAAAAAGACGCTTATAATAACAACATCCTAAATGCTTTAAATAAAACAACATCCATGATTTTCGGAAATTTAATGTAATTAAAAAGAATTAAATGAGAAGGAAAATAAAAATTGTTTGTATACAAGAGTACAAAAGAATTTCTTTTACATTTTTGATAATGCACAATACAGTCTATAGGAAATTAAAATGATGCTCACATTGGACCTTATTTGCATCTTTAAAACTGAAATTTAAATATCTTCTTTCCAAAAAAAAAAGTAATTTATAAATACACATATAAACATATGTTACGTCACGTCTAATACGAACTAATGCTTTGGCGTTACATTCTTTATCAAAATAAATTGTCAAAAATTATTGTTAATATAATAATAGAAGAATTCATAAAATTCTAAGAGTATTTTTTTCTGCAAAGATATCGTAACATGAACAAATTTGTAGAAAACATTGTAAAACTGTAACAATTAATTGCAGTCTTTCATACTTAAAAAAAAAAAAAAAAAGAACAGTCTTTATATGTCACCGATAATACTGTAAGAAAAACATTCTTCCTAATATTATGTAATGTAACCTTTTACACAAGTTTTTAATCGTGAACCGATAACATTACCTTTACATATATCATATTATATTTCTAAATACAAAAACTTCTTTTTCATTTTTATAAAAATACAAAAAAAAATTATTCTTGTAGTTTTTCCTTAAGTAATCATGTAAATTTATACATTAAGACTTACACGCGGATAATATTAAAATTTTAGCTGTAATCTTTTCTAGGTAACCTAGAAGTAAATTTAAATCATATATACTTTGTGCGTGTTAAGGCGCTTCCTCCTTTTGTAGGATCCATCATACGATCCCAATTTGTGTGACCAACTACAAATCCTACAGCGCGCATTTTTTCTTGTTCTTTACGTTCTTCTAAATCTGCCCACCTTACCTATTAAATATACAAATTTACATGATAAATTTATCTACGTTTTTCAATGACGAACAAAAAATAAGAATATACTTACACGTTTTTTACCGGAAGTATCTTCCATATTATAATAGTCGGGAACCTGAAGGAAATCTTTCATAGTCTGTACTTTTCCTTCATTTTTCTTTTTTGCAAGACCGTCCAGACGATCTATATCGAATTGACATAATTAATGAAATTAGAACTAAATTAATTTTTCATAATATGTATTAATATCGTATGAACTACATAACTCACCTAACTTATCTTCGGCTTCCATACGTTCCCATTTGCTCACTCCCTACAAATGAATAATATAAATGTATTATGAATCCTTCTGATATTTACAAAAGAAATACATAAACGAAAGTAGCAAATTACAATAGAATCTTGAGTATCATCTTGACTATCTTGACTATCTTCATTTTGTTGAGAGGACTTTTCTTGAGTTTCTTCAGTATCTTCCATATGAACCTAAAATTAAGTAAATAATATCAACACTACTTAAAACAAAAAAGAAAAATGTTTACATGTATAGTTTATTGACAACACATACTTCTTCAATTGCTTGTTCCTGCAACATTGAATTAACATCCAATTTTTGATGATAGCTTGGAGTTGGCTCAAAATAATCTATAATTCTATTTATTTCATCTTCTGTGCGATTGTGAATATTTCTTTTTAAACAGATTTGTAAATCCATTTCCATTTCGCACACATATACCTATAAATATTTACATAAAAAAAAATATTCAAGAAAATAATTTTTTATTTGTAAATTGAAACTCAAAACTCATGTTGCAACAAAAACTTACTTTGAAACCTTTTGTTTTAGCAAAACTCCACATTTCTTCGTAATCGGATATTTTTTCATTAATACAATCCAATATTATAAAATTAAAGAAACCGTCGGTAATATTTTTTTTAAAAGCTTTAACAAGAGATGTGATATAACTTTGTTCCATTGCTTCCTCGTATTCATAGACCATTTCCTGCAAAATTTGTTAAATAGTAAATAGTGCAAATTTATTTGTTTAAAATTTTATTTTTTTCCAAAAATAATAATTCATGTCGTACCTTAATAGCAACTTTCTTCCCATTATCATCCACAGATTCTATCTCTTTCTCTACTAAGAAATAATCGTCAAGGCTTAATATTCTTGGTGCAGAACCTCCTTGTTCAACTTCTTTGTCCTATAAAAGATATAATTTCGAAATAATTTTCGAGATAATTACTTAAAAATTGGGTAAATTATATTTCAATAAATGCGACTGTACCTTAATAAGTTTTGCTACAAAGGATTTTCCACTCCCTGGTGGACCCCTTAAAATAATAGCTATTTTTGGTGGTCTGTTCTGACGACCTGGCGGACATAGTAAATCGTCCACCATTGTACAATTTGGAGTTTTTGCCAATTCCAAAGTTTTTTGTGTAGGTTCCAATACATTATGCTGAGTATCTGTAACACTATAATAAACAACACAGACTTATTAAAGGATCCTTTTAATCTACTTGTAAGTTTTAAAGAGACAATAAACAAAAGATAATACCAGTTTTATACAACGTAACAGAAAATAAAGAACAATAAAAATAAAAGTGATAAGGACTGATATATTTTAATTTCAATACGTTATATTTAATGTTTTTTGCACAAGGTATTAAGACATTAAAGAATTTCAAAAATGTATTAAACGCGGTAAATGAGAGAAACATTTTTTGAAAGCTATTTGAAAAAATAGCCATCACCTGAAAATAGCAAATGTTTTTCCATATTACCTTGTCCAGGTAAACAAATTAAAACACAAGAAATATATTCGTTCATAATATAAACACATTAAAATAAAACATGTTTGTATTATGATGCTATGTGATTCATGTGTTTAATTCCAAATATTTTTATAGGATATATTATAAAATAGTAAAAGCATAATAATTTTCAAAAACAGTTTTCATTTGCATCGCGCATATGAGTAAGTTTTTCGTGGTTTTAAATACATAATATTAGACAATATAGTGACATTAATAATACAGTCACATAAATATATGTACATGTATAATATCTTAAATAAAGAAAACCAATGGTTTTCGAAATATTTTTTGTCAATAACATTGACACAATTGATAAAAACATATATGACATTCTTTAACTGCACTTTAGCAGTTTAAATATAAGAAAATGAGAGAGAGAGAGAGAGAGAGAGAGAGAGAGAGAGAGAGAGAGAGAGAGAGTATGAATTTGCATAAATAAGTCTTCATACTTTATGCAAAATGCAATGCTTATCAGAAATATTATATTTATAAATGGATACCAATGTCGAAATATAAATTTAAGAACACAAAAGTCGTAAAAGCATTTATTTTACAATATTTCAAAGGCTAAAATATTTAGAACACATTTAATAATCAATAAGACATACCTGGTATCTGATGGCTTTGTATCTATGACGTTCTTGTTTGAATTCTCCTGCCAGTTTATATTTCCTTTCGATCTAAAGAAAGTTACATGTTTTCAAACAAAACTGATTTACATTAATGGCCAACAACATCAATAATAACTTACAATACTTTATTTAGAAATATAAATACACGGATAAATTTATAAATAATATATTCATTGTACTATACCTGTCTTCATCTTTCTCGCTCTCTTTGTTCGTTTCCTTTTGCGTTGGTTCACATCTTTCCCGCGTTCTTTCTATATTTGAGAACAATGACAATAAACATGAAATTGTCCATATAATTTAATAACTAAATATACACAAACACATATATTTATTCTTTCGACATACTTTTACAAATCTTATCGACTTCCATATATAACGAATAAATTGTAATATTCATAATAATATTTGAAACACAAAACTGTATATTCTCGTAACTTAATGTCAAATTACCTTTAGTGGAATTCTTATCGTATCGATTTTCTTGATCCTTGTCAGAAGTATGCTCAAATATCCTCTCGTCGCGTTCTTTCCCTTTATGATCCTCTTTTTCTCTGCGTTCCCTCTCGGGTTTTCTATCATCCACAAATTCTTCGCTATTTCTTCTTTGGTTGTAGTCTCCTAATCGCTTGGATTCTGGTTTTGTCACATAATATTCGTACCTTCTTATCCTCTCTGTGTATTCCTTCAAATTCTGTTCGGTCTCCTCCCAGTTTCTAAAATCTTTCTTTGGATATACTTCATGCTCTGGCACCTGTGGTTTTAGATTACCATGTCCATAGTCGAAGCACTGCACAGGTGTTAAATGATCTTGAATCGATGTACGAGAAGTATGAGCATAGTCAATTACTTTGGCGGGTATGTGTTCGATAAACTTCTTGTCACCACCAGCGCCACCATGATTATAGTTGAATTGCTTTTCTATACAAAACTCTTTTACGGTTGGACACCTGATTTGAGATGGTCGGCAATCCACGGATCGTTTCATGTACATGGAGTTATCGAATTTCGTATAATCAGAGCTCGATGACGATTCTCCATATCCAACTTTATGATCTCCTATCGACGTATCGCTCATACATCTTTCTGATCTTTTATCAGGAATGTTACATTTATTTCCGCCCATAGGAGATCCTCCTTCGATGTTATTTGCTGTGTTCTGATTGAACGTTTCGTTTTGATTTTGATTGAACGAGGATTTTTCAGGATAACCGAAATCTCGTCTTTGATCGGTATCTCCAAAACTGTTTTTAGAATACGCCTGCCTCCAATTTGGGTTCTGCATGTCATTAGAATCGAATAGTCCCTGTTGCATACTCTCCTCGATTGTTCTTTGCTTGTTATTATCAAATGCTCCTCCATCGCCGGCTGTTTCTGGAGACTCCTGAATTTCGCAACCAGAATTATTATCAACCAGTCCTTTTGATCTGAATTCACCAATTCCTCTAATATCGAGTTGTCTGCTATCGAAAGACCTGTCAGTTTGACCACGAGATGGGAAAGA